TAGTGATGAGAACATGCAAAAACATAGTCCTCCTACACACGACTCAGTGTTCCATCTCTCTGTCTGCAGCCCGCAAACTCAGAAATCAATGTTCAAACTTGTGAAGAGGCTCTAAATCGCTCTCTAACTCCAACGTCACGCTTCTTACCGCATTGATAAAAGTCACACTATGGATCCAAAGGACAAGTAATGCCACTGGAAGCACTTATCCATCCAATGTGGCACTCTGTCTCAGTCCTGCTCTCTCTCTCTCTCTCTCTCTCTCTCTCTCTCTCTCTCTCTCTCACATGGTAGGATGAGCAGAAATTTGTTCCCAGCAGCAGTGAGAGGAGAAATAGGTCAATGAGATTTTTTAAATGTTTGATTATTTCATATTTCACAGACGACAAATCGAAACCAATGTGATTAACATAAATTCTGAAAGAAAGGATAAAAGAAGGAAAAGAGGTAAAAGAGAAAGTAAATACAAAAAAGAGATTAAAAAAGAAAGAAAGAAAAAGAAAGAAAGAAAGAGAAATTAGGAAGAAGCAAAAAAAAACAATAAAAAGGGAAACAGAAAAAGAAAGCAAGAATAAAAAAGAAAAAGTAAGAAAAGAAAGCACAAGAAAGTAAAAGAAAAAAGTAAAAGAAAAGAAAGAAAAACAGGAAGAAGTAAAAATAAAGAATATAATGAAAAGAAAGAAGGAATAAAAGGAAGAAAAAAGGAAAGAAAAAGAGAAAATAGATAAAGATAAAAGAAACAAAGAAAACAGACATAAAAGAATAAAATAGGAAGAAAAAAACAGGAAGAAGTGAAAAGAATACAGGAAATAGAACAGAAAAAGATTAAAAAATGAAAATTAAAACAACAAAGGAAGAAAATGAAGCAAATGAAAGAGAAAAAAGAAGGAAAGAAAAAAAGAATGAATGAAAGAAAAAAAGGGAAGAGGAGGAAGTGAGGAGCAGTATGTGTCTTGCTCAGGTTGCTGCACTGTTTCTTGTTGTAGACTGAAGAGAGACATGAACGCTGACCACTGGAAGCTGAACGCTGGAGTGAAAGCAGCAGAGCAGATGGTTTTCTCATCTCTCCTCACGTCCCCCTCCTGCTCTTTTTCCCTCTCCCGAGAATGAAGAAGAAAAGGAAGTGAAGGTGAAGGGAAAAGAGTGCTTCTCGGCCTCGTGTTTGTTTGGTGAGGAGAGGAAAAAGCGCGAGTTAGAAGGAGAGATAGTTGGAGATGGAGTGTGTGTGATAAGGAAGCTCAAGGGTAAAGAGAGATCATCCTCATCCTCAACTGATTATCACAGAAACAATTTCATTACAAACTTACTTGCGGGAATATGCAGATGAGGGTGATGGGTAATAGAGTAGCTAATTATTTGCCACAAGTCAACTCCCCTGTACCTGTATGTGCTATATAAGCTCAGGACATAAGCTCCCAGTTTTGTATATAATTCATAACGGAGATACTTAATTAGCAGCTAAATTATTCAGTTAATTTATATTAAGCAAATGAGTTCCCTTGTTGTTGAATATTTCATTAAAAGCCTGTCAAAATATAACAAGTTAACTTTGGTCACATACAAATGTGTGTCTCGTGCTCGTCTGCAAATGGGCTCATCTGTCCCCATAGCCACTGCTGAATATGATTAAATATTACAATTAAACATACTAATGCATCTTCACAAGCGACTTTACCGCACATGATGGATCTGCAGAAACAGGTGTAGAAATGCCTTTCATTGCAGCTCAAAATATAACTGACATATATGAACTGAGATAAAATGTATCTATAGAACATATAATCGGATCAGAATAAGTTAAGAGGGGATGAAATTTAAGTGCACTATTCATGAAGCCATTAAAATATTGGTGAAAATTCATAATTCAGACACTAATCTGAGCTTAAATATCACATACAGTGGTGTGAAAAAGTGTTTGCCCCCTTCCTGATTTCTTATTCTTTTGCATGTTTGTCACACTTAAATGTTTCAGATGACCAAACAAATTTAAATATTAGACAAAGATAACAAGTAAACACAAAATGCAGTTTATAAATGAAGGTCTTCATTATTAAGGGAAAAAGAAATCCAAACCTACAGGGCCGTGTGAAAAAGTGATTGCCCCCTAAACCTAATAACTGGTAGGCCACCCTTAGCAGCAACAACTGCAATCAAGCGTTTGGGATAACTGGCAATGAGTCTTTTACAGTGCTGTGGAGGAATTTTGGCCACCCATCTTTGCAGAATTGTTGTAATTCAGCCACATTGGAGGGTTTCCGAGCAAGAACCGCCTTTTTAAGGTCATGCCACAGCATCTCAATCAGATTCCGGTCAGGACTTTGACTAGGCCACTCCAACGTCTTAATTTTGTTTTTCTTAAGCCATTCAGAGGTGGACTTGCTGGTGTGTTTTGGATCATTGTCCTGCTGCAGAACCCAAGTGCGCTTCAGCTTGAGGTCATAAACAGATGGCCGGACATTCTCCTTCAGGATTTTTTGGTAGACAGCAGGATTCATGGTTCTATTTACCACAAAGTCTTCCAGGTCCTGAAGCGGCAAAACAGCCCCAGACCATCACACTACCACCACCATATTTTACTGTTGGCATGATGTTCCTTTTTTGAAATGCTGTGTTACTTCTACGCCAGATGTAATGGGACATACACGTTCCAAAAAGTTCAACTTTTGTCTCATCAGTCCACAGAGTATTCTCCCAAAAGTCTTGGGATCATCAAGATGTTTTCTGGCAAAACTGAGACGAGCCTTTATGTTCTTTTTGCTCAGCAGTGGTTTTCGTCTTGGAACATGCAGGCCATTTTTGCCCAGTCTATTTCTTATGGTGGAGTCATGAACACTGACCCTTAACTGAGGCAAGTGAGGCCTGCAGTTCTTTGGATGTTGTTGTGAGGTCTTTTGTGACCTCTTGGATGAGTCGTCGCTGCGCTCTTGGGGTAATTTTGGTCGGCTGGCCACTCCTCGGGAATGTTCACCACTGTTCCATGTTTTCACCATTTGTGGATAATGGCTCTCACTGTGGTTCCCTGAAGTTCCAAAGCTTTAGAAATGGCTTTATAAACTTTTTTCTCAATTACTTTGTTTCTCATTTGTTCCTGAATTTCTTTGGATCGCTGCATGGTGTCTAGCTTTTGAGGATCTTTTGGTCTACTTCACTTCGTCAGGCAGGTCCTATTTAAGTGATTGAGAACAGGTGTGGCAGTAATCAGGCCTGGGTGTAGCTTTCCAAAGATGTGATAAACCAGTTAATTTATAAACTGCATTTTGTGTTTACTTGTTATCTTTGTCTAATATTTAAATTTGTTTGGTGATCTGAAACATTTAAGTGTGACAAACATGCAAAAGAATAAGAAATCAGGAAGGGGGCAAACACTTTTTCACACCACTGTATATATGACAACCATGTCTAAATAAATATTGATACATTTGCTTGATGTGAAACCAGCATGAAAGTAATTATGTAAGTATGTGATTTGTATGGGGAGGGGTGAATAATTATGTTGTCATTATTTATAATGAATTATGGATTTATTTATAATGAATGTACTGTCCCTTAATATCCATAAAACTATGAGGTCATTTTTTATGATCTGAGGGGAATGGAAGGCATTTTATTTTGAAACAACATTAAAAATCCAAACTGTAAAAATATTTGAATATGTAAAACTATGTAGGCTAAACAGCCCCTGTTCATCAATGTAGTGACAACTCTGAGCTTTATTTCTTAAACCAGTGGTCATCAAACTGCATCTAACATGCCATCCCCTCTTTCGTACCTCCAATGCATCTAATCCAGCTAATCAAGGAGTTCTGAAGAAGTTAATTAGCTGGAGCAGGTGTGGGAGATTGCAGTTGGAACTAGACTCAACAGGAAGGCAGATCTCCAGGACCAGAGTTGGTGACCACTGACTTAAAGCTTATACACTTGTGATACCATTTTGTGCCACACTGTGGCAGTAGATATCAGCAAAACAGCCCTGTCACTCTCCAGTCCTCCCACTTCACAGCATACATTTCAGCTCAAATAGAGACAAACCTTAATATACTTTATTCCAGAAAGTGATTTAAAAAAGTTTTCAAACTTGTGCTGCCAAACTTTGCACAGAAATATATTTGACTCATGATTCATTGCTTTGCTGTCAAATGTTACAGCAAAATGTGATGTTTTTTCAATGTTTTTCAAGCTGTGAAAAAGCACAGACTTCATATGTTGAGATGTTTTAAAATGACTTTTACCTAATTTGACCACAGGAAACATTTGTATATAACTGTGAGTCACATAAACATTTACATTTACATTTACAGCATTTAGCAGACGCTCTTATCCAGAGCGACTTACAAAAAGTGCTTTGTCTATCCAGAGAAAGTATCTTTGCTGGTTACCAATAGGTTAGAGAGAAAGCCAGTCCTGAGCTCAGATACTGCTAGAATCAGAAAGTCATTATTGACACCTAGAGAAAAAGGAACAGATTTAATCACAGAGCAGTGCAATACAATACAATACATAAGTGCTGTACAATACATTACAATCAATACTTAATTCAGTGCTCATTTAAGTGCTGTATAAAGAGATGAGTCTTCAGTCTGCGTTTGAAGACAGCGAGAGACTCTGCTGTACGGACAGCCAGTGGGAGTTCGTTCCACCACCTGGGTGCCAGCACAGAGAACAGTCTTGATGCTTGCCTTCCACGCGCCTTGAAGGATGGCAGGTCAAGTCGAGCTGTGCTCGAAGCTCGAAGGGCTCATGGTACAGTTTGAGATTTCACCATTGCCATCAAGTAGGGAGGGGCTGGTCCATTTTTGGCTTTGTAAGCAAGCATAAGGGTTTTAAATCTGATGTGTGCAGCTACAGGAAGCCAGTGAAGGGAGCGCAGCAGTGGGGTGACGTGGCTGAACTTGGGGAGATTGAAGACGAGCCGTGCTGCTGCATTCTGGATGAGTTGCAGAGGCTTGATGGCCCACATTGGAAGACCAGCCAAGAGCAAGTTGCAGCAGTCAAGCCTTGAGATGACGAGACTGCACTAGTACCTGGGTGGCCTCTCGAGTGAGAAAGGGTCGGATCCTCCGGATGTTGTACAGGAGAAATCTGCATGACTGAGTTAGGTTTGCAATGTGAGTCGAGAACGATAACTGGCCATCCAGAACCACACCAAGACTTCTTGCCTCTACAGATGGGACAATCAGAGAGTTCTCGAATGAGATGGCAAGATCATGATGGGGACCTGTAGTTGCAGGGATGAATAGCAGCTCAGTCTTCCTAGGATTGAGCTTCAGGTGGTGAGCTGCCATCCATGAAGAGATGTCAGACAGACATGCCGAGATCCGACTGGAAACCTGTGTGTCAGAGGGTGAGAAAGAAAGCATTAGTTGAGTGTCATCAGCATAACAGTGATAAGAGAAGCCTTGTGGGACACCAGTGGAGAGCCTGCGTGGAGAGGATGTGGACCCTCTCCATGTTACCTGGTATGAGCAATCTTCCAGATAGGACTTGAACCACTTCCACGCAGAGCCCATGATTCCAAGGTTGGTGAGGACGTCCAGAAGGACTGTGTGGTTGACCGTGTCAAAAGCTGCCGAGAGGTCAAGAAGAATCAGGACAGATGACAGATAGGCTGATCTTGCTGACTGGACCTTCTCGGCCACTGCTATAAGAGCAGTTTCTGTTGAGTGCGCTGGTTTGAAGCCAGACTGAGTAAATATGAAATTTTTTTTATTTTTATTACTCACATAAACTATGAATTATTTAAAAAGTGTGATTTTGTTTTTTCTTCCTTTTTCACTACTATTAAAATGTTCTCATCAGTGTAGACATGCCTCCAGAACACTGACTTCTGTGTTTAGGTCTTTTCCAGCTTGATGTGGGTACGATGTCTGGATATCACAGCTGCATATTCTGTACCAGAGCGGTAAACGGTGCGCTTCAGCTCAGCTGTGGAGAAGTCCACATGAAAGAGGCCAAATCGCGCTCTGAAGCCTTCTGCCCACTCAAAGTTATCCATGAGTGTCCAGGCAAAATACCCCTTCACACTCACACCATCGTCTCTGATAGCTGGAAAACAAGGCGGGACATGGTGATAAGTAAGTGAATGGAAAAGAAATAAAACAATGTGTAATTGTACAGTCTTGTGCAAAAGTTTAAACACCCCAAGTGAACAGCCATAGAAGTGGATGAGTAATTTGTTTGAAAAAGTTAAAAAAGATTTTGTTTCATTCTATTAAAAAAGTGATTCACTATTTCATTGATGTTTATTAAAAAAAGCCACCCATGGCTGTCTATGGATCACTTGCTCCCCATAAGTACTGGCCCAAGAGGATGTTTCATGGCCCAGTGGTGGAGAAATCCTGTTCTAATGTGAAAATAAGTCAGCATATCCTCTACAGGGAACAAACTTACATATGGTATTTTTCTGCAATTTTTAGTGCACAATATCTATTTATTATTTGTTTAGATTTACTATATTGGAAGAAATAAACCAAATTCCTCCATTATGTTCAATTCAGCATAGAAACATTTAAAGAGTGCAGAAGTGGGTTTCATGTAGGGGAACTTATTTTCACTTAGAACAAAACTTGATTTGACCAGAGATGCCCAAATGCTTGCATACAACGGTTTATTCGTATAGCATGTATAATTTGTGCTGAGCAATGTATTGCCTGTACCAGTATACTGGTATTGATGTTGCACCACAATCTTGGTTTTTTTCATGTTTATTATGACACATGTTCATTAACTTCATTAATGAAAACTTTAATGCCACCCTATCCTGTCATATTGAGATGCATAATGAGTATTTGATAAAGCTTTTGTAACATTCACTGATATTGAAAGACCTTCAGATACTTCCTGAAGAGTGTCCTGATAAAACTGGCAGCGCTCAGCGTCTTCAAGTTCAACTGGTCCAATCTGTGAGAAGCCATTTTCAGTGATGTAGATGTCGGGGTTGTTGTAGGTCTCCTGAGAGAGAGATTCAGAACAGTAAAGATAATGCTGTGAATTTTGAAATAGCTGTATCTAATATGAAGTAAATCATTCCTGTCGGAACAAAACCTTGTATCTCCATTGCTGTTGTTTTTTTTTTTACATCATTTGAAAATAAGAGCTGTCCTTTACATTGTTTCATGATAAATGGGCCGATAGAAATGATCCAAAACGACTTATAGCGAAATCTTTAGACTGACTTTCACTGAAATTTAAGAATGTTGTTTGCTTCTTTGTAGAGTTATTGTTTAAGAGATGTGACATTTTGTTCCGTGTTCAGTGACTAAATACAAAATACATGGATTAAAAAATGTGGGGTAAACATCTCTCTCTGTACCTTTATGTAATTTAACAACTTGCGCAGTCTTTCTGGCACTACAGCGAGCCAGGATAGCCCACAAATAGGCCATGATGGATCCATCACACCCTCTGCTCCCTGGTCCCCTTTGAAACTGAGCTCACTGGGATGAGAACTCGTATCCTTCACTTTGCGTGAAGTGTAGTAGTTCAGTGCAAAGAAATCTGCTGTGCCTAAAGGGTTGGGCTCATCTTCTGAAAACTTTGGCAGCCGAGGGCCCTCAGAGAACCCTAGTTCCAGGTTTCTGGCCTCAATCCTGGTCCTCATGGTCTCTGGATAGTCCCCTGTGCAGAACACAGGGCAGGCAAACCAGCCCAGAATGAAGTCCATGTATCGTTGTGTGGCTGCTACATCCTCGGGACTGCTCGGGTCTAATGGCTCAGCCCAGTCACTATTAAGAGCTATGGACACTTTCCCTCCTTGGAGATGTCTGAAATGAGCATTGTAACTATGCCAGGCTCTAGCGTGGGCACGCAGCATGTTGTGGCCCACTAGGTAGACAGAGGTCCCTGGCTCTCTGAGCCCTGGAGCAAAAAGGCCATCCTCGTACCCATGTTTAGCACACACGTAAGGCTCATTCACTGTAATCCAGAGCTTCACTCTGTCCCCAAAGGTCTTAAAGCAAAACCTAGCATATGAATCAAAAACATCTGCAATCTCTGGAGATTTCCATCCACCACGATTCTCCAGGGCCTGGGGCAAGTCAAAGTGGTTCAGGGTGACCATGGGCATAACAGCATTGGCAATTAGGTCATTGATCACTTTGTTATAATATGTAACACCTGCGGATTAAAAGAGAAAATAGTTCATTAATTCTTTTGAGAAGTGGTTTCCTGACGATGAATCATCCAAATCTCCAAAAATTACAGGTTGTAGCTTTAATAAACCTTACAATGTCTTTGGTGTACATTTATAGTATTTGGTGCATACCACCTATTTCTATTGAAATATGCAGGACAGCACATGTCTTCTCTACTCTTCAGATATCTATTTTCAATGTACAGTTAGGGGTGTTATGGCATAAATGTAACATCTTGATATTTCAAGACCTTCTGCCAATACATAACATGCATCACAATATTTCTGTTTTCTGAGGTTTGAATGCATCAATACTGTCAAAAACTATGAACACAGTGATTTTTATTTATCGTTCCACATACTACATACTACAAAATTCAGTTAAACAGACCTAATAATGCTCTCTTTGTAATCAAACATGCAGTTGTTCTTCAAGTACTGACGATATCCACAACATGCTCAGAAATGTGTATTGTGCTCTAAAATGACAGTTTATGACAATAATGATAAATAGCATCATACTGTCCACCCCTGTGTATAATACTGTACCTTTTGGATTGATATAATTTGTGGTTCCATCAGGAAGCAGTCGGGACCAAGATAAGGACAGGCGGTAATGGGTGAGGCCTAACTGAAGGATACACTTCAGGTCTTCTTCCCAAAGCTGGTAGCTGTTGCAGGCCACGTCTCCTGTTTGATCCTCAAATACTCTGCCTTTAGCATGGCAGAACGTGTCCCATATGCTGGGGCCTTTACCATCCGTGTCCCAGCACCCTGCACCAAAAAGACATTTTAGAAAAATGATTATAAATAATACTTTGCCTTCAAACAGGACATAGGAAGCATATAATTTGTACTTTAAATCTTTAGTTTCATTCATTCAGTTCATTTCTTTAAATGTCATAACCCAGTATATTAATGCAATTCTAGGATAAAATATCTTTGGTATGACAGGCAAAGGGACATTCTTCTGGTTTTTATATTCTCTGCATAATTAAATGGAGTCAGTCAGATTGGTAAGTCGTGAAATGCTCCTTTCTAGAGAAACCTACCAAGTCAGAACTGTTTACAGTGGTGGTGACAGGAACTTTTGAAGAGGTTAACACAGGGGTGCACAGCTCTGGTCCTGGAGGGCCGGTGTCCAGCACAGTTTGGTAATCTACCTGCTCAAGAACACCTTGCATGTTTACATTGTTGTTTGCCAAAATAATACCCAAAGAACACTTTTTTTCTGCCCAAATTTACCACTATTTCACCAGTAGTAGAAGGTGTGTAGGTTCACTGGTCATTTTGAATATTAAATAAAATGGTTGTATTTGTGCTGCAGACATCATAACCCCTGCCTCTTCATCCCCACTGTAAAGAAATCCTCAAGGGTATGTTTCTCTATGATGCACCATTTCACAACAAACCACTCTGAATGACTGTTCACATCTCAACCACTGAATTAAGGAGGAATTTTGAAAACTCGTCGGAATTCCCCTTTAAATTGGTTCTATGAACTACGGAGTAAACAGTAAAGGCTGGCTTGGAGACGTGGGTCAGCTGGAGCTGGAGTAACGTTATACCTTCGATTTGATAAGCAGCTGTTGCAGCTCCCCACGCAAAATCCTGTGGAAAGGCGTCCACTGGTACCTCTTTAAGAAGAGACATCTTCATCACAGAGCAGCGTTCATATAACGCACTCGTGTTCTTTCAGGTTTCTCTGCTGGGCATCTACGGTTTTGTTTCGAAAAGTTCTGCTCGTATTCACACAAAAAGGAAATTCAGCGCCGACGCACAGCCTTACGTAGCCTTACGTCATCACGCAGTCAAAGAGGAAGACGCTCCGCTTGAGCTCAGCGGGTCTGCTGGGGTGAGCAGACTTTCTCTGAACGAGAGATTAGAAGGAGGTGGAATTTACACGAATATCAAAACAGGTCCAGTTTTGTCTCCAGTGTTAATCCACACTTGCACGCGAGGTCTTCTTGGCTTTCCGGTTGACCACTAGTCTGTTCCACTGTTCGTGGCAGCAGTACGTCGATATATATAGACTAAATATCTCGAAATAATAACTACTTTTCTCGAAAAACTTGCTTACTGTCTGGAAAAGTGAGTGTAAGAAGGTGTATTTCTGGATTATTTTTTTTCAATATGCTAAGTGATTAGCACGGTAAGTCATTATTCCCTGCTGCAAAAAAATATAGAAACCATTAAAAGGTTCTCCCAAATAGTCAGTAATGGTGTTCTTTGTTTTCCTGATAGGTTGATATCACAGTGTAAAGATGCTACTGGTTTAACAGGTGACCTGTCACTGATTCCAGATGAATTTGATGGTTTCCTAATGGAATCTAAAGATGTCCTACCGGAAACTAGTGGTCTCTAATGGAAAACTTAAACCAATTTCCATTAGAAAGCATCCTAATGCTTCTAATGATTTTTACATACTAAATATGTAATGTTGACTCAGTAAGTGAATATTTTGATAAAAATAAATAATTATTTCAACATATTAATTCAACCCTGCTAGAAAAACAAGCTAGTCATCAACAAACCAGCGATTAGATGCTAGTTTGACCATGCTGGGTGACCAGAAGTAACCTAATGACCAAAATAAATCATTGTTTCGGTCAATATTTTGAAACTTTCCATTTGGTCATTTATGTCATGTTTAGTTTTTCAACATACAAGTTTAAACTTGTATGTAGTAGTCACAGTATTCATATTCTATGAAAATCCATATTTTTAGATTTTTGAGAAATTACTTCGTCATACATTTGAGATACTAAATTCTTTAGAAAATAAATCATTTTGAAATACTAAGTCACAATTTTGACACAAGGAGAAGGGAAAAAATCACTTTGCCAAGTGCTACATAAATTCCTCAGTTAGCTATGATTGTTTAGATTGTATCTTATGATAAAACATAACACAACAAAATGTAAAGTAACATAATATAGCATGTATCTACTCAACACAATTTATTTTTATGAAATCTCTGCTGCCACTTTCCCTAACTAATGGTTTTGAAGATGTACCCTTGAGGCTACCACCCCAGTGACTATTTAGTTTCTTTTTTTTCTGAAAGTGCTCTGTAAACAATTCTGACTCAGTATTTCACATCAAACCACTCTGAAAGACTTTGCTTACATCTTAAATATTATATACAAAAATGGTGCAATTATCCTTTAATGTGAGCTACTGACAAGACAAAATTCTCATGAATGTTGTCTTATATTGTTCAGGACCTCCCCGTGACCCAGAAGGATAAGCGCTTTAGATGATGTGTGTGTGTGTGTGTGTGTGTGTGTTTCTTATGTTACCAGTCAAAGCAGTTCTGATTTCAAACTGTTACATACAAAGCTATTTACCTTTAACATCATGAACTGTCTGCTGATCAGAGGTGGGCAGAAGAGCCTAAACTCAACACGGGAATAAGTATGAAAATACTTTTCTAAAAACAATTTGAATCGATGTGCCACAATATCAGGCCAAGAAAATACTTCACTGAGCAGCTTCTACCCAGCTAACAAGAACTGAGTAACTTATAGGCCTACAGTGGAACTTATTAGTACATTTAGCATCTATGAGTAATGAAGTGCTTCTCTTGGTCTAAAATGAAAAGGTAAAGCTCAGAAGTTAGAACAATCACAAAACTGTTGTCACTACATATTATAATGAACTTAAACACAAAAAATAGTAACTAAATGTAACTGAGGAGTAAAAAGTAGATTCTTTTCCGCATAAATGTACAAATCTAAATAACTGAATAAATGGGTCTAGTCACTACTGGCCTGTGCTGTTAAAATGAATCGCCGAATCGGACAGCTCGATTCATTGAATCGAGTCGTTCAAAAGAATCGGTTTGGTGAATTGAATCGGACGCTCCGCTGCTACTCCTATTTTCCTCTAAAGAGCGAGTGAACCTACTGTGACGTCAGCAGAGGAACTGGAACATGGAGCTCAGGCTGGGAGAGTTCAGTGTGAATGGACGGAGTTCAGAAACTACGGGCAGCTGCTGAGGAGTACAGCGCCGGGCTTTACACGCTTTTTTAATCGTATGTTGCCGCGGACGTGGCTTTACGTTTCCGACACGTGTGGATATCGCGTACAATTCTCAAGAACTGACAGAACAAGTACTCGGTCCGCTGTATTTCAAGAAGCTTATCGTTTGGCATGCGGATATGCATTTAACAGTTGTTTTTGAGAGGCTGACGCACCGTGTCTGTCTGCGAGCGCTCATGGCTTTATCTTCTGCTTGGTGTTCAGTGCTGGGAGTCGGTGTGTAATGAGAGGACCGCAAGGGAAAAGTTGTTCTTGATCGAAGTGTGATCAGATTTCCCCCAAGTTTGTGTGTGTGTGTGTGTGTGTGTTATCTTTGCTCGGCTGCAGCTGTCTCGCTCTCTCGTCGTGGAGTAGCTTAGCAAAAGGACCTGGATTCCACCAAGGAGCAGCAAGAAATGAAATAAAGCATGCTCGAGTTGAAGTTGCGTGTTTTCTCGCTGAGCTACGGTGTGCTGGTGAACTTTTAATGTGCCGGAGGAGCGATGCAGCAGCGGAGCGGAATGGTGAACCGAGGCGCCAGGAAAACAAAGGATCTCCCACCACCTCTCCGCGTTAATGTGGAGCTCTCAAAGCCATGAGAAACCACGGCATAAACCGCTGTTTTGGGCACGACGGCTTCCAACATGACCTGATCAAGTCCGTCTCTCTGAATTGCCCTGATTTGTGCTTGAGGGCGAGCCTTTTCTCGCGGAGATAAGGGGCTACCTTATCAAAGAAACCCCGCCAGAGCTCGCCTGCTTTCTTTTTTCTTTCTTCTTTCTTTCTTCCTTCGAGATTTAATTAGAGGCTACGCTGAATTCTCCTCGTCGTCTGTGGCTATTATCGCCTGAGAAAAGCGAGAAATGTCGGTCTGCGGTCTCTGGCTCCTTCTCTTGGCTTTGGAGCTGCTCGGAGGCTCAGACTCTGCAGTATCATCTGATTGTAAATCATATGACGAGCGCTCCAGAAATGCAGGGAAAGGCTCGCCGTCGGTGGCCACAGAGGACAGGAAGGTGGTCTGCAGCAACATGGAGCTCCATCAGGTGCTGTCTCCAGAGTCTTTTCCCAACAGGACAGTCACACTGTAAGTAAAATAGCACTGGCACCACATATAATGACCCTCTGCTCCACTGTTTTGCCTGCCATTTCTTGTGGGTGTTGGCTCTCCCGGTGCTGGGGGGTAAAAGTTCTCACACTGTACACATCATACCACAGCATTTACTGGGCCAAAGTCAAGTTAGGCCTCAGAGTTGATGAAGAGCAAGAGAGGGACACATGAGATGGTGTATACAGTGCAGTGGTAGGATATTGCACTAATTTCTAAAATATTTTGCTTTCCAGTTGCTGCACACATTCTTCAAGGGTTCTTTAGTAAAGGGAATGCTTCTATTTAGAACCATTTAGTGCTTACATTGTTCTTTGCATGGTAAAGTGGATCTGTCAGATTGATGGGGAATGTATTTAGAACCTTTTTGAAGATGGTTCTATATAGCACCATAAAGAGTTCTGCTATAGTTATGATGTCAAGCTTGTAACAATAGCAGAACCCTTTTTGGTGCTACATAGAACCATCTTTCAGAAAGGGTTTTCATAGAACCATATCTGAAGAACCATTTTGCCATGCAACAAACTATTCTCTCTATATAGAACCATATACAACATATTCTCCATTAGCCTGGCGAACCATTTCACTGTGCAAAGAACCATTCACTTTAATAATAAGCCCTTTTTTAGTAGTGTAATATAACATGACATCAGAAAGCCCAAAATGCCATATATACGTAGGCCACCTTGTACATAATGTAACCTGAACATGGCTGCTACTAAAGTACTCACTCTCTGACTCGCTTGCCAGTTAGGCCTAGTCACTGACCCTGTTTATGAGTGCAGAAGTAGAACTGCTGTCTTAGTAAAAAGGATTTTATGACTTGTAACAACACCAGAACTCTTTGTGGTGCTATACAGAACCATTAAAGAAAATGTTCTTTAGAGGGTCATATGCAACAGGTTTACTATCATGGGGAAGAACCATTTAACCATTCAAGAACCTTCTGCATTCAAATGAATCTACAAGTGTTCACAATTATGTAAAGAACCCTTGAAGAATCATTTTAAGTGTAAAAGCTGTTACAAAACTGCACATCAGTATATTTGATTGGACTAAAGTGTGAGATGCTAACATAGAACCTGGTGCATCGGACTGCTGTATGTCTTAGATACAGCAGTGTTTACCAGCGTTGTGCAAATGTGGGTTGTTGTGTCTATCCACTGTTTGCATTTTTTTCCTCTGTGGAGCTTCAGGGCATTGTCAGGCCAGTTCTTTTTCTGTGTGGTCACCTCCTGAAAGGGGAGGGCTCAAACAACATGATACAATAGTGAAGAAAAAGTTAGTGAATCCTTTGGAATTATCTAGGTTTCTGTATGAATAGCTCTGAAGCCATAATAATAAATAAAGTCAATCTTATTTAACCAACAAAACACCCATTTTACTCTGCCGTGTCTTTATTGAATAAACAATACAATGCAATCAAGGTCATTGATGGAAAAAGCATGTCAGCCTTTAAGATAATGTCCTTTTAAAAAGAAGGTAATTGATCTCAGGTGTTCCAGTCATTTGAGGTGGGGGCCTCATGGAAAAACTGCTGTTTTGATTGCCTACTCTTCACAACAGAATTCTGTTCCAGCGTAATATAGCACAATCAAGAAACTTCAGAGGACGTCTGACTGGAAACATTTACAGAAGAATTTCAAAAGATTTTTTCAGAGCCTGATTGGCTTGCAATTATTCAGGAACCAATAAATTCCAAGTTGTACCAGGAAAGCCTACAGCAGAATGTTACTGCGTCAGTCTGCAATCTAAAACTATAGCAGTTGGGCTGTGCAACAATGACAGTCTTCTGAAAAGTAGGAATAAATCAACAACAGAGTGGCAGGAACAGAAGAACATGCCCATTTTAGAACCACCAAGTCATAGTCCTGACCTCAGTGCAGCTGAAATGCTGTGGTATGTTCTGAAAAAGGCCATTCAGGCAAAACATCCCCAAAATATAGATTAGCTTAGTTTTGTTTTGAAAAATGAACCAAAATATCATTTAACTGCTCATCAGCTGCTGCAGATGGTGTTTAGTCATGTTTCCTGCCAATAACGGAGGCTCCAATCTTTTCTTCCATCAGTCACTGTAATTGGTTAAGCTATTGGTTCAAAAAAGATGTGGCAGTGTAAAATGTGTGGTGTTCAGCAAGACTGTGTATTTATTGTTATGACTTCGGTCAAGTTCTGGGCCTGTGTGCACAAAGCTTCTCAGAGTAGATGTGCTGATCTAAGATCAGATTTCTCTCTCATTTGCTATGACTTTACTGACAGGAACAAATTCTAGATCAGCACTCTGAGAGGCTTCACGAATACAGGTCCAGATCTCAGTTTAAGTTTATCTCACCACCCGTTTCTTCTAGTCTACATTTCAAATCAAACAGCAGCGATTGGCAGTCATTGATAGTATTCCCATGACGTCACAATTGTGCTGTTCAAGCAGTGCTATGGTGGTTTGTAAAGAGAAAAAGGCACAACAGATGAAGCACTTTTTAAATGTCATTTTTAAAGTGTATGAACCAGTGTATTTGAGTGTATTGACTTGATATTATCTGATTTGTTTTTGTACTGACAACAAATGAAAGCTAAAGTCAAATCGGCTGAGATTTCCCAGTGCGATATTAGTTTCACGTTCCAAACTACATACTAGCACATTAAATAATATGCAAAAAATAGTGCGTATACCATTAGAGGTGCACTTGTTAGTGTAGTAGGTGAAGTACGGAACAGTGTGTGGTTTGGGACACAGCGTTAAATGAGCCAGTGAGAAGCGTTCAACAGATTCAAATGAGAAGTTGCCGAATAAGAAGAGGGCTTAAGTTTGATATATATGTTTGAGTTTATTATTTAAGAGCTTTGGCAGTTAGATTCATTTTTATTTTATTAGCCAGTTTTATTCGTTATCAGTCCACCAATCTAGCTAATCTCGTCATAGCGTTTTCTGGAGACTGCATCTAAAACATCTACGTATTTTTTCATCTTTTTCGTGGTCGTTCAGACCTGTTTTGTTTTGCTTTGTTTTTGTCCACCTGCAGGGCTGTGACAGCAGTAACTGTGATGAGACAAGCTCTATCAGAGCACAGTCAGAGTTACGGTTTGCCTATCAGCATGGCAGCATGGTGTTCTTAATGATGTAATTGAATACTATGAATAGTCCTGGCAGTCACCCTACACTTCACATTGTTTTCCTTTTTTCCGACAAAACCATTACAACATTCTTAAGATTAGGGATCTATGATGATATCAGAATCATATCAACAACGGCAGGTATTTGCTTAAAAAATTACCGGCATTTACATTTGACTGATATTTCAAAGCAGTATTTGGTGATGTAATTATTGTGCTCTGTAGGAGCAGAATGTTCAGATGACGCTGGTCTACTGCGCTAAAATATTTGTATTTTATTCATTTTGCTGGATTTGTAACCTTATAGATATAAATGTTGTTTTTATCTATAATGCTGATCCAGGTAGATATCGTCCCAATATCAAAAAATGTTTTTGTACAAAATATTAGAGATCTGCATTGGCTTGCAATTCCCATATTGGTGCTTCCCTAATCAAGGCTTTGATAATGTACTGAGGAGTTTAGTTAGGTGTGTTAAAGGAGGGGACACACCGAAATGTGCAGTGCAAGACATCTTGATTAGTATCAGTCATTTTTATAAGGAGCTGTAATGGCTCAGAATATTTCCAGTCTTTCACAGTTGCCAGTCTTTGAGTAACTGCTCTAACTGGCCATTGTCCTTGTATTGTTTTAGCTGTTATCCACTGATCAGCCATTTGCCCTTCACTTTTTGCGTATTTGCATTGTTTAAATGCAAATGAGTTGGATTTTTCTGAGAGATTTTCACAGCTTCTTTTGCCTATAGAAAGTAGAGTTTGTGGAGTCAAGCATTTGTCCTAACAGTTCATGTAGTTATAGTCTAATATATGAAGGGACAAATCTGTAGTGGGATTTTTGTACTTTCAACCAAAGTTTTTCATTACTGTTCCATTGCTGCACGTGGACCTGACCACATTCCATTTCATTGAGAAAGTGCAGTTGTTCCAGACTTCTCAAGGTGCTGGACACAAAGCCATATCTGAGTAAAATACATGATTTGCTTCAGGCCTCATACTACTGACAAATATTCTTATTTAAAGATTGGTACACTCAAAAAAAAACTTTGTGTACTGTTCAAAAACTATTTCATTATTTTGGTATACAATATTTGTGCATGTTTTCTATGAATAACTTTCTGGCAGTTAAAATATGAAAGTTTGTCCTCCTTGGATAACAAGGGTAATTAAACCTCAGCCAGTGTCAAGGTCTTGGCCTCTCTTTGGGATGTTTGCACATTCCACTGGTGTATCTAAACTCCTTTTTAACTCATGGTGTCTCAGTGGCCTCCTGAGCATGAATCATGCAGACCAGCCAAAACAAATCTGTCCAAAGAATCATTCCATGAATTGTGAAGAAATGAGGTGATTTAGTTTAGGTTGTTCAGCAGAAGGCCTGCTGGATAGTGAAAAGAAAACAGAATTCTAATGTCCACAGTTTGTGTATGTACCGGACAATGGAAAAGAAATACTGTGTAGGAAATGAATAATGAAGATGGCAAAAATGCTTTCAGCGTTTATTAATAGCAGTCAGATACATTTATAAATGTACATTTTAGATATTCACTTAAATAATTGTTTTATTTAAGTGAATCTGTTTTTACTTCACTATTAAACACACTGTTTTTGTTACTGTGCCTTTTAAGACTGATATAAGTAAATGACCTTTGAGCTTATGGACTGTCCTGCATTGTGCCTCATTCAGAAAGTAGTCTGGACTGAAACACTCCCTATAACTTGGGCAAGAATGGATGTGGCTAAACTGCTGTGGGCTGAATGGGCAGATCTGTAATGTAAATGTGTTGATAACAGTGAATTAAAAACAGGCTGTTTTTTGCAGCATTGCTTCCATATATAGACTGTGTAGTAAGACTGGGTAGTAAATGGATGGTC